CATGCACACAAAGTCTTAAACTTTCCTTGTCTGTTTTCCTTGTGTATCTCAATACAATCAGCAAATCCTGAATTCAGTCATTTTTCAGTGCATAAATGGTGAGTCTCACCTGGACTACTGCAATAGTCTGGTTGGTTTGCCCCAACCCCGTCTTCTTAAAAAAAATTCATTTATTCTCTCTCTCTCTCTCTCTCTCTCTCTCTCTCTCTCTCTTTCTCCCCCCCCCTTCATGTACACCTGTCCCATAGTGTATATGTCGAAGTCAGAGGACAACTGATGGAAATTGGGTCTCTCCTTCCACCATGAGGGTTCCAGGAATTAGACTCAGGTTGCCAGGCTTGGCTGCAAGCACTTTTACGCCCTGAACTGTCTTATCAGTCCCCATTTCCCACTCTTGCTCCTCAAAGTCTAACCTTAGCACAGAGGCCAAGCGATCATCCCCAAACATGAGAAATCTGTGATTTTTGCTGACTTTGAACCTCTAAGTTTCCTTCACACTGTCCATTTTATGGCCTACAACATCTTAACCATCTGCCCTCCTCCACCTCCAAGTCCCTCTCCACTTCCAGGCCCCCTCAGACTTCACTCACTCAACATTTCCTGTCCCCCTAACCTGCACAATAAGCTCCTCCTTACCTTGGGGCCTCTACACCTGCTTCACTCTTTGCATGGGATGCCCTTCCTTCAGAGAGTTCAGGGACTGACTCTCTTCATCCTCATCCCTGCTCAGCTTAGACACTTCCCATGTGGGACTTCACTTAACACATATACTGATGCTTTAGGCACTACTTTACAAATGAAAAAATTAAAGCACATCTAAGTAAGATACCTGTGATCACAGAGCTAGTAAGCAGTAAGAGCTAAAGTCTGGGTCCTGGCAGCCTGATTCCAGGAACTTGTTCTCCATACACCAGCCCACTGGGCCTCGCCTATAAAATTGAGAAAGTTAAGTAAACATCAAGACATAATGATCAAATATCGAACTTGTTCTAGGACTTTCTATCATTAACATTTTTCCTTTTGTTGTACCTTACAGAAATCTTTTCCTTCTCTCTGAGACCATGAGGTAAAAATTCAGCCATATCCCCAATTCAACATATGCTGTGTTAATTTCTGCTTTTCAGCCATTTTTGAAACGTATGCTGGATGGGGGAGATGGCTCGGTCAGTAGGTCACTTGCTTCACAAGTGTGATAACCCGAGTGTGAATCCCTAGAACACACGTAAAAAGTCTGGCACAGTGGTGAAATCCCAGTGATGGAAAGCTGGGAGGTGGAGACAGAGGGATCCTCGGAAGCTCATGGGAGCACCCAGCCTGGCCTGAATGGCAAAGTTCCTGGAAATGAGAGACCTTGTCTCAAACAAAAAGTGGAAGGTACCTGGGATCAACATCCAAGGTTGCCTTCTGATCCCCACATTTGTGCTATGTGTGGTGGTTTGAATGAAAATGTCCCCGGTAGGCTCTAAGTATTTGGACATTTTTGTCCCCGGTTGGTGGCGCTGTTTTGGGAAGTCTTAGAAGGTGTGGCCGTGCTGGCGGAAGCACATCACTAGGTTGCCTTCTGATCCCCACATTTGTGCTATGTGTGGTGGTTTGAATGAAAATGTCCCCGGTAGGCTCTAAGTATTTGGACATTTTTGTCCCCGGTTGGGAAGTCTTAGAAGGTGTGGCCATGCTGGCGGAAGCACATCACTAGGGGCAGGCTTAGAGAGTTCTTGAGCCTTACTGGATTTTCCAGTCTCTCTCTGCTTCCCGTTCCTCCTTCAAGATGTGAATGTTCCACTTTCTCCTCTGGCCACCTCTGCCTCCATGGTGGATTCTTGCCCCTTTGGAAGCAGAACTGTAAGCTGAATAAACTCTTTTATAAGTTCCCTTGGTCACAGTGTTTTATCACAACAGAAAAGTCACAAATACACTATGTATACGCACACTCATGTTCATATGTGCACCTACACACACACACACACACACACACACACACACACACACACACACACACACACACATTGAAAAATAAATGAATTTTTTCTGAATAAGTAGTCATTTGGGAACCAGAGCAGAGCTCAGGGGCCTGCAGCGTCCTTCCTCCTCTGGTGGCTTTGTGCTCTTAGAGACCCTGTGCATAGCCCAGAATTCCCTCTGAGCTTCAGATCCCACTTGTTTGCTCATCACCCATGACAGACCTTGCTTCATAAATTCCCACCTTTGTTTTACCATGGAACCTATACATGGTATAACAATTTCTTTTCCATTCTTTTTTTCTTTCAAAAGTAGGAATCTATTTGCTTGGATGTGATAGCAGGAGAGGCAGAACTGTGGCAAAACTTCAAATGGTGAGAAATCTGTCTCAGCGACCTGAGTATTGAGAAGCAAATTATGATCCCTCAACTCAGTGTGTCTTGAACTGGCAAGTTAGGTGAACCAAAACGCTTCATTGATTGTCCACCTGTCTGCCACCTGTTTCCAAGTCAGTCAAATGTTTGTGAATATTGCCTATTGTCCACTCTTTCTAGCTATTCAGATTATTAATTTAAAGGTTTGCATAAAATTATATAAATATAGAGGCATACCCTTGAAATCTCAAACCCTTCAGATCTTTTTTTTAATTTTTAAATTTTATTTTATTTCTCACCATTATTTTATTGTATGAGTGTTATGCCTACATGTATGTGAGTGCACCCATGTTATGCAATGCCCACGGAAGTCAGAAGAGGGCATCAGATCCACTGGAACTGGAGTTATGGCCAGCTGTTAGCTGCCATGTGGGTGCTGGGATTTGAACTCAGGTTTTCTGCAAGAACAGCCAGTGCCCTTAACCACTGAACCATCTCTCCAGCCCCAAACCCTTCAGATCTTGATTAAGCAGGCAGGCAAAGCTGAAAATCAAATCAAATCAAGTACACTGATTGGTCCCTGTTCTGTGGCATAAAGTTATGGACAGTCAGTTGAGATACAGACTGCAGGTTCTTGAGGACAGCAGATCCAGGTCTCAGTGCCTGGCACATAGTAGGTTCTCAACAGAATAGATACTTAACAAAGTAGGTACTTGATAAACATATATTTAATCTGTATAACTCTTTTGTTGTCTATTCATGAACTTGTCCACACACAGAGTTCTGAGTACTCACCTTTGTGTTCCTTATACAGAGCCACCAGGAGCAGGTGGTCATTAAACCATCATCATGTTGAACTAACTTGCGTTATTTGTCTTCTTGTGTGCCCTTCCCTGGCCCAGCCTTGTCCTTTTCCCCACCCCCACCCCTGGCAGGCCAGGATCCCCTATCTGAAAGCCAGACACCTGAAGTCCTTCAAATCAAGCTCAGAATTCAATTTTTAAATGCACTTTGTTCATTTCAAAAGTAATTTTGCAACCAGCTAACTGTTATCCCAGGAGGAGGAAAAAAGCATAAGCTTAATGAATTTGGTTGGACACACCATGTAACAGATGTCCAACATGCAGCCATGAGCTTAAGTCATAAATACGATGCCTCTGCTTGGCACGGCAAAATATATTAGAAGTGTTTTATCGGTCACCAGGCAACTTGCTAGATGGAGGATGAACAATCCGAGAAAGAAAGGCCCGAGCTGTACCTCCACAGCTTCCCCAGAGAAGCACAGACAATCTGTCTGCAATGGTTCATCAAGTTGGTCCTTTGTTTCCTTAATTTGAGTGTCAAGTGCAACCATACAGTAAAGACTTGCCAAGACCCGATAAGATTCTCCTCTGGCTGCTGTTTTTCCTGCTGGAACAACTGGCAGTATTCATGCCCAAAGCACAAATTGAATAAATTGCTCCAAGGCTGGAAATGTTGGACAGTGCCTCCAGTTTTCTGTGTTTTCCTTGAAAGGCTCCATCACACGTGTTTCTGCCTCTCAAATGCTTTGTCCTGGTATTCGGTACTGAACAAATCATTTTAACTTTCTTAACAGAGTATGGAAGAGTGCCTTATAAGTTAAAAATAGTTCTTGTTGTAGCATCAGTCCAACAGTAGATTGGGAAGATTAAAAATAGAATTGCAATGCCTCTTCCGGCCTTGAGAAAGCTCTTATTCCGCCCGTGGTTCAGGTGGCCAGTTGAGCATTCCCATCTTAATATAATCTTTAGCGTCACGTGGCCACAGGTGACTCAGTAACACATTAAGAAAACTATTTTCACTGAGCAATTTCACAAGAAATATGTTTTGAGCTAAACCAGATGCTTAACAAACTCCTTCTGTAATTCAGTGTGGGGCAAGAGCACCCTCATAAGAGGCTTTATTCAGGTTTTTAATTTAAGTCAAAGTCCTAAATGTGAAATTATGTCCCTTCAATGAGTAGAAAACATAAGGCACCAAAGACATCAGGATTCTTATGAAATAATCTGCAGTCACTTTTTATCTCTGACAGGGAGGGAGGCCTCACTGAAATTAGAATCTATCATCGTGGTGGACAAGGTGCACTCAGTGTTTCAAAAACTTCAAAGTCATTTAGATGAGTCCTAGAGACCGCAAAAGTCTAGTGGAAATATAAACCATATTCTTGGAAGCAATGATGAATGAAATCATTTAAATGAAAGGTTATGACCTAGAGGAACCATGGAACAACTGGATTTGTCAAAACAAAATTAAAGGGGAAGAGAACGTTTAAAAACATACAACTAGACATGGCAATAATACAGTTTTTCAGAAAAAATAATGTCATAATATTGTTCTCTAAGCTGTAAACAAATGCCAGAGCTATAAATAGATCTATTGGGCATTTTGGAGGCTGACCTGTCTTTATTTTTAAAAAACTCACAAAACATAAAATTTCGTCAGTAAATTCTTAGATGTCTATGGCATTCAGGATCTAATTGGGTTCTCCTTGATGATTCCATAAAGGATAAGGAAATCCTTGAACCAAGAAAAGGGCACACTGTCACAGTTAACTCTCTAGCCCCAGAAATTCCACTCCACCAAAAAGATGTTTTGGAGATGGGGAGGAGGACTGCAGAGGATTTTAGGACCCAGCAGGCGGCGGCAGGCGGCAGTTGTGTGGATCACAGAGAGACTCGGAGGGTCCGGCTCAGTTTTAATTCGCCTCTAATCTCCTCAACAGCGGCGCTGCCGGGTCCCGCGGCTCCTGCCCCGGCTCCAGCCACCGGGCGACCATCCGAGCCGCCTCGGCTCCATCATCCAACCATGGAAACCCTCCAAGAAAAAGTGGCTCCGGACGTGCGTGCCTAAGGATTCCGCACAAAAGAGGTGCCCAAAATGAAGACCCTGATGGTGAGTCCGTTGTTGCAACTCCCTCGGTCGGGTAGAGGGGAGGACCCCGGGCTCAGGGACCCCGGGGTGCATGGAGGAGCCCGGACGGGTGCTGTGAGGTCGCTTGTTACAAGGGGACAACTTTCCACCTGCTCTGCGTTCCCTGGCTTGAAATCCCGAATGGGTACCCAGGATGCCCAGGCTCCCGTGTCTCTAGCGAGTGATCCTGGGGGGCGGTGGGAGAGGGGAGGAACCGGCTGGCCCCCGGGGGAAGGAGAGCGCCCCACCGTGACCACTGGGCACTAACTCCGAGGGGCGAGGAGGAGGGACCGCTGCAGACTTTCTGGGTTTCCTTGTCTGATTTCAAACTTAGCGGGGAACCCGCGGGGAGCCCCCAGGGGCCCTGGAGAGGGGGTGGCAAAGGGTGGGGATCCCAGCGGCAGGTGGGGCGCAGGGCCCCCTCCCCAAGTGCCCCGGGCGCGCGCTCTCGGTTGCCACCGGTCGTCCGCGCGCCACCTGCCCTCCACGGAGAGATGCGGGCGCGGCTGCGGACAGCGATGTTCGGGGAACATCCTCGGCGGGGATCCTGCCGCCTCGGTCCCTGGCCGCACGCGACCTCGGCGCCGTGTCCCTGCGCCTGATCCCCACGGAGCGCGGTCGTCCCGGGTGCACGCTCAGCCGCTGTCTTCTGCTCTCTCCCGCCCGCCCGCAGCGCCATGGTCTGGCAGTGTGTTTAGCGCTCACCACCATGTGCACCAGCTTGTTGCTCGTGTACAGCAGCCTCGGCGGCCAGAAAGAGCGGCCGGCGCAGCAGCAACAGCCGCAACAGCCGCAGCAGCCGCAGCAGCAGCAGGCGACAGCGACGGGCAGCGCGCAGCCGGCGGCGGTACAGCAGCCTCGGCGGCCAGAAGGAGCGGCCGGCGCAGCAGCAACAGCCGCAACAGCCGCAGCAGCCGCAGCAGCAGCAGGCGACAGCGACGGGCAGCGCGCAGCCGGCGGCGGAGAGCAGCCCCCAGCCGCGCCGCGCCGCCCCCGCAGGACCCCGGCCGCTGGACGGATACCTCGGCGTGGCAGACCACAAGGTGACGGCCTGCGCGCCATCCCCGCCCGCCGCAGGGCCTGGCACCCGGCACACCCGAGCCTTCCTCCTTCCTGGGCCCGGGAGGCGCGGGAGCAGGTGCCAGCTCCTGGGCTTGGAAGGGTAGTGCACCGGCTGGGGCTGGGAGGGCTGCGTGCTAGTTGGTATGAATTCCTATTTGGACAAGGATGCAAAGTTTTTCAGAGAATAGGAATGAGGTGAGTGGACCCTGAGCCCGGAATTTCGTAACAGGAGCTGGCCCTGAACCAGAATCCTCTGAACCCCAGATTTGCAGTTGAGTATGGATGTCCAGTGACTGGAGCCTAGGATTGTCCAGCCGAGTCGTCGGGCCCTGGTGGGAGGAAACCCGGGATGGTGCAGGGACCAACCCAGTGTTCCCCCTGCACCTCACAGAGTGGGAAAGCGAGAGTCCCCAGCCCCAGCTCAGTCCTGCCAGTTGCCTTCTGATCTGTGCAGCCGACTGCTGTGAGCGCAATGGCCTGGGCCGCTGGGAGCTGAGCATCTCAGCTCTCCAGGCAGGCAAGGAGAGCTGGAGGCACAGCCTCAGCTCCCGTCAGGCTTGAAAGCCTGTTTTCCTTTGCCTTCAGGGAGGCAACTGCATGTCTTGGCTAATAATTAATAAGCTGATTTTTTAAAAAGCGAGCGTCCTTTCCCTAGAATAATAAATCTCTAGTTTCAGTGTGGGAAGCCTCTGGGAGAATCCTAATCAAGTTTCCTGATTCTGGAGATATTTTAATACACTTTAAGTGCGTCTCTCCTTACGTGAAGCTGCCTGTGTGTTTATTAAAACGCTTCTACTGTGTGCTGTATAAAACTAGAGGAGGACTTGAAATCGCTCAACTCTTTTACTTTCTCTTTTACTGCATTTTATGACTGTGAAGGAAAGTAATATATGCAGATGCTCCTTTGGGGTGTTCTCATGAAGGCTGCTCCTACCACACATGAGAAAGCCAAACTTTTCTACAAAGTGAATAATCCGAATGCCGCCACTCACCTATACCTTGTAGAATGCTGTCTTCGAAGGGTTCAGAGGAATTTCAAGCAGAACCCAGCTTTCTGGGGTCCTTGAATAAAACCTGGTGTGGAGAAAACATGTCCTGAAATGTGTATAGTGAAATAAACTGTTAGAAATGCATAGTTCACTCTAGCTGTATTTCACAGTAATAGGAGGAGGAAAGGCATGTCCGTCTGGACGAGACAAAGAATGCTTCTTTGGAAAAGATGGAACTTCTTTCCATCTAGAAAGATCTCAGAGAGGCCCCCAGGAGAGGGTCCTATGGAGAAGAAGCAGTTTAGGGTAGACTTAAACCTCAAAGCAGAGAGCTGTGGGTGTAACAATTACAGTTTCAGTCGCTTCCTTGGTTGTTGATTGATTACATACTTCGGTCCTGCATGTGCAGGCAGCTGATAAGGGCTGCGTTGTAGGAAAGTTGAGACCTGGATTCTGGCTGGCGATGGATGTGGTGTTCGGTATCACTGGTATGGTGAACATATTGCTGTGGTGGATTTTCACGGCAGTTCAGTGGAAATGGCCACCTCACACATTCAAAGCTTCCATGAATAAGGAGTGTCAAAAGATCAACATGTTGGATGCTCTGACGGGCTTTGGGGAAGATATGCCAAATACTGCCCTCCTTGTAGCCTAGTGTGGGACTGCCAACAGCTATGGGAACCGACAGAGTAACAGAAAGTACAATGGGCACTCTCATTTTCAAAATAATGGTTGTGCACACAAGAGTGTTTGATTAGATTTTCAGTGCATCAGAATCTTATGTAATTAGGATGAAGAACAGCCCTTCCTACGTTGGAAGAAATATACCCCATACATGAAAAATGGAAGTCTAAGGGCAACTTCCAAACGCTCTGTGAATGATAGAATACTACATAATTCTTGGAATTACTTTAGGTTTTATTTTATTTTAATTTACTTATTTGTTTTTTGGTCTTTTTGAGACAGGGTCTCCCTGTAGCCTGGAATGGCTATGTAGACCAGGCTGGCCTCAATCTCACAAAGATCCACTTGGAATTCTTGGTAGAGGATGGGTTTCTTTGCTTATAATTATCAGTATCAATGAAATCCTTTCAAAGGAAACTATCATCTCCCTGGGCATGATGGTACACACATTCCTGTAATACCAGCACTCAAGAAGCTGAGGTAGGAGGATGGCAAGTTGGGCGCCAGCTCGAGTTACACAGTGATATCCTGTCTGAAAAATCTAACTGGGGATGGCAGACAGGAAAGGGGAAGGGGAAGAGGAAGAGCAAAGAAAGGGAAAGAAAGAAGGGAAGAAGGGAAGAAGGGAGGGAGGGAGGGAGGGAGGGAGATCAACTCACCAAATCCTACTTCCAAGGTTGTATCAAAGCTAAACTGACCCTAACCAAAGGAACAAGTGTGTATCATAAGAGCTGAGCCTTCTTAGGGAATATCCCATTTGTTCCTCAGAAAAAATATAGACCCGTTCAAAATGCATTTGCTGGAGCGTGTTACTGCTACTGTTTAGCTGGCTGGAAAGTGGGCAGAACTGCCATCTTGGTGTCCACCTGAAGGAGTACGCCTCGTGTAGACATCCAGAAGGCACTGATGAATTAGGTTTTGTTTGAGATTGTCTATATTTTTGCTCAAAGTGACAATACTGTCAGGATATTGCTAGAAAAACAATTTCCGCAGTTAACACAGGAGAGAGGGAAATGGAGACGCCCATCCTTACCGTATTACTAGGTGACATTCAGATTGCTTTTTATTTGTTTCACTTTCACATCAGGCCTCCGAAAGGACAGGCACGCTGAGCGTGATGACCACCAGGCCTGTATGTTGAATCAGAATTCCAACAGACTTCGAGTTTGCTTCTGATTTGCAGAGTCTGGAGGGAGCTACAGATACTACTTAGAAAACTGTTCACATCTCCATAGCTCAAGGTCTCAAAGACTGATAAATATGTAGTGTTTATGTTCAGTTACAGGATGGAATTAACATTATAACTCCCAAGATGAAATTCAACAGGTGGCCTTAATCCCTGGTACCTGAATTTCACAAATTACAGGCTGTCTGCACTGATAGATTTTCTCCTATGACTGCAGACTGAAGACTGTTGAGATTAAATCACTGTGTGGTTTTGTTAAAAGATAGGCTGAGCCAAGTCAGTGCGTGTTAAAGCTTAAAATATCCTTTTGCCTGGTCATGTTTCTGACTCCCTCTTTCATAGTATGAGCTGACTTGGGATTCCAGCGTGACTAGACAGAGGCCTCTTGGTTGCTTGTGGTAATAAAGGCAGTTCCTCTTCTGCTGGGTAGAATTGTATCTTCTTTGCAGCTTCTCTTCCCAGACCTTTACCCGCAAACATTCCCCCAACACATTTCTTTCTTGTTGGGGATTCATCACAGCAGCCCCTGCATCTGGGTTCTGGGATTACTCTCCTCACTCCATTATGGAAGCTCAGTTTTGATTCACAGGTTCCAGCAGAACCTGATTGCTGACCAGACTGGCCAGACACAAGAGAAGAAACCAACTTTCGTAGCTTTGAGAAAATTCTTTATTTAGTATTGCAGCATAATGTGTAACCAACACACACACACACACACACACACACACACACACACACACATACACACACATTAAAGCAAACTCTCAGAGGAAAGGCCCAAATCTTTATAGCTTGCTGAAAGGAGACAGAGAATGAAATTTGGTTTCCAGTCCAGATCTTTCCAGGTAGATAAAGTCATTTGCCATCTGGTGGAACCTGTGAATCAAAACTGAGCTAATTCCCATTTCTGGTGGACAGGTTCTTATCACAGAAGGCCCACCTGTCACCTACACTGCCCTTTGCTGCAACGGTTAATGAAAGGGCAGCGAGGGCCAGCAGGGCCCAGGCATAGCAGGTATCTCCTTATTACACAAGTGGCCTCCAGGGATGGATTCGCCACATGCCAGTAACACATCTGTCCCTGGTTCTTTCCTTCCTTAGGCGCCAGGTTATTCAGGACTCACTGTGGTAGTGCTGCTACTGTTACTATGTAGATGTCCCTACCAACAGACAGACAAGTCAATGCGGCACCCAAAAAATAAAGTCAGATTAAAACAGCAGGCCACAAACTCATTTCAAAGTTGTACACCAAATGTTCCTCCTTTAGAAAGTCTATAAATTCTTAGTGACAAGTTGACACCATTTATTAAGCCCCATTTGATGACATTTGAGTAATCCAATCAATGATAAAAATCATTTCAACGCTGAGGCATTGAAAGGTAAGTTAATTTTCAGTGCTCAGGCATTGCCCAATGCAATCTTCTGATGATGATGAACACACAAAGCAGGAGGAGTCAGGAACTCAATCAGGTTTTGTGAATAGTCTCAATGATGTGAGCTGGTGAGATGGTTCAGCAGGTCAAGGTCCTTGCTGCTAAGCCTGATGGACTGAGTTTCATCCTCAGAACCCACCTAGGAGAAGGAGAGAACCCAGGTCCTCAAGATGTTTTCTGATCTCTACACAGGGCCCATGACACATATTCTCTCTCTCTCTCTGTCTCTCTCTCTCTCTCTCTCTCTCTCTCTCTCTTTCTCTCTCTCTGTCACAGATTAATAAATGGAAAAAGAAAAATTTAAAAATAATTTAAAGTCTCAATAATGTGGTTACTTTTAACAGAAGTGTCTGTGTGACAATTATTAAAATACTTCCCTCCCTCTGCTGTGAGAGGTAGAACGTTTTTCCAGCTTCCCTCAGAAATAATGCCAGTACTTGAGCCACCTGCTCTTGGTGAATTACTCTAGCCTGGCTCCCTTTGACATCTCAGACATGCTGGCTTCCATGATACCTGCCCTTTTCTTCCCTCAGGCCCTTTGTACTTCTGCCCTCTTTTCCTGGGAAGCTCTTTCTCATCACTGAGTCCTCTTCATGTGTGTTGTGTGCACGTGGATGTAAGAGGGCTTTGGATCCTTTGGAACTGGCATTAGAGGTTGTTGTGAACTGCCTGATGTGGGTACTAGAAAC